CATTTCTTCTACTTTTATGGTTAGAATTCCTGAAATTAGTTTTCTCAGCTCCATGCCTTTTCAAGTCAAGGTATGGGAACAGAACCCAAGTATTAGATTAAATAACTATGGGGAAGCTTCTGGGATTAATCCATTGAGGAGTTGAGACAAGTCTGATCTCCCTAGCTGCTAGGGATCACACTAATCTTTTCAAGTTAGGCTCATCTTCTTCCCTCATAACTACTCCCTATGATTACCTCCAGCAAGTGCCACAGGCAGTAGGGCTTTGTGGTTTACCTTGCATATTAGTAGGTTCAGCCTGTCACTAATTAAACATATTAGCAAAAGCATTAAATGAACAAAGGCAGGATATCACAGAATAAGTCTAGTGACTTAATTTTTATTTTACCAAGGCCACTTTGGACTTAGGGTTTTTCGGATGAAGTATATCCTCTTTGGATTTAGGGTTTGTGCAGATGAAAGGTTCTGAATATCAACTCAAGCCCTTCTCCAATACCCTGTCTCTGACAGAAAGCCCCTGGTTGGTATTTACATATTTACATAGTAAGCTTGGATTTAAAGACAGATTCACCTTTTTTATCCTTAATATCTTTATTTCAAAACTAGTTATCTACCTGAAATGCATTACTTCAACTTTATACCTCCTGTTGCTCATACAATAAAAAATGGTGCCTTCAGTAAGTAATGGGCCCAAATTATCTGAATGGGAAAATGGTGCTATTGAAGGCAGGCTTGGAAAGGGACACATAAGGACTTCCCACCAACACACCCATATTTCTGAAACAAGGCAGTCAAGTTTCCAAAGTATGTCCCCAGAGCCGAAACCAGCTTGGCTCAGTGGATAGAACGGTGGCCTGTGGACTGAAAGGTCCCAGGTTCCATTCTGGTCAAGGGCCTGTACCTTGGTTGTGGGCACATCCCCAGTAGGGGGTGTGCAGGAGGCAGCTGTTTGACGTTTCTCTATCATCGATGTTTCTAGCTCTCTATCCCTCTCTCTTCCTCTCTGTAAAAAAAAAAAAATCAATAAAATGTATATTTAAAAAATGTATGGCCCCAGAAAACCTATTTGTCTTGTCCTCATTGCATTCATGGACCAGATTTCATGACTGAGCACATTCTATAGGTCACCTTGAACATGGAACTTTATAAATGAAACCTCCACACTAACATTAGTATAAATAATAAACAGAAAAAAAGGTAAAGGATGAGGCGAGATGATCAAGCAGAATTCTCTGGAGTTGACAGGATGCATCCCTACTAAGAAGCCTTTAACAGCCCACTGGTGTGCCTGGTTCCTGCTTGTTCCGCTTTCTGCTACAGAGCCTTCAGATAAGCTCTGTAGCCATTGTTCTTGCTTTAAATTTCCATCAAGGTTTTTATATGGGTAACAATTTTTAAATAGTCTCAATATCTCTATAGTGTCCTTCTATTACTTGATTACTTACACTCTCCCTCAGAGAATAGGCAAAAGTCCCACAGGGTAAGGTTTTTAATATTTCATGAGCTCACATAAGACTTTAGGCTTAAATTTCCTTAGAGGCATTCATTATACTGTGACCATCTGTAGCCAAATAAGAAATAAGTTCATCTTGAGGAAATTCTTTAGAATTTTAACAAGTCTTCCTTTTTTTGTTTTTGTTTATTGAAACCAAATAATAGCCAACTTTTATGCAAACATTCTCTCTTCTCCCAGAGTGCCCATAAACCCACAGGCTGATCTGCTCCTCATCCCTATCCCCACACACTGGACCAGTGGAAATTCCAAGTCCCCAAGTGAACTAGAAATCTCTATAAGAAGTGAAATGTAGTCTATTGACAGCCAAAGCAAACTTTCCATCTTCCTCTTCATCCCAAACTGGAAGGTCCAGAAAGGAGACCTAGACAATTGTCCAGTCTAGAGCTCCTCTGTAGCACCGGTTTTCCTTTAGAGCAGGAGTGACAAGCTATGGTCAGCAGCCAACATCCAGCCATCCCCATTTTACAAATAAAAATTGATGGAACACGGACACGCCCATTTACATGTATACTGCTGGTATTGTTGTAATTAGCTACTTGTTAATAATAGGGAAGGAGCAAAGGGGAAAGCCAGACATTATAGGCATGTCATTGGAGCAACTTAAATTTAAGCCAGGAAGCTGCAATTTCACACTCCCCAGGGAACCACCAGCCCATTCCCCACAAATAACTGGGGGAAGAGGTCCAACAAAGGGGAGAAAGACTCATGTGCAGTGAATTTGGGGTGGTGTCTGTCAGTCACACCTGGGAAGAGAGACCATTGGCCAGAGTGGGCATGAACACTGCAAGCCTATGAGAATTTGGAAATATGTAATCCCCTAGAGCAGTGGTCGGCAAACTCATTAGTCAACAGAGCCAAATACCAACAGTACAACGACTGAAATTTCTTTTTAGAGCCAATATTTTTAAATTTAAACTAGTTCTAATGCCACTGCTTCAAAATAGACTTGCCCAGGCCGTGGTATTTTGTGGAAGACGCACACTCAAGGGGCCAAAGAGCTGCACGTGGCTTGCAAGCCGCAGTTTGCCAACCACGGCCCTAGAGTAAATGTGTTTCCCGAGTTCTATAGTAAATGTTTTTCCTGAGCTGTTCTAAAAAATTGGCAGACTCCAAGGAGGGTGTTGTGGGACCTCTCATTTACAGCCAGTCAGTCAGAAGTATTAGGTAACAATCTGGACTTCCAATTGGCATCTTGAACTGTAGGGAGTCATTGGGACCTCCAATGCATAGCTGGTCAGTCAGAAGCACAGGTTAAAATGTGGCTTGTGATTGAATCTGAAGTGTGGATAGGCAGGTGCAGGGGAAAGGAGGGAGAGAGGGAGTGCAGTCTTATGGTAAAGCCTTTTATCTGTGTACTCTGATGCTATTTCTCCATAGATAGTCCCAGAATTGATTGAATTGGGTTGAATATTCTACTGATGTCAGAAGACTGTTGGTGTGAGAAACTTACACACACACACACACACACACACACACACTCACACACACGCACGCACATTAGAATTGGGTCAAGGAACACAAAAGAACATCCTTATTGGACAAGTCCCAAGGAATAATATCAATCAGTCTAAGACATATTCCTCAAATCTCTTAGATCTCTAGTTCCATCATATTCTGTAGAGGGCCAAATGGGAAGACACCTGGACATTCTTTAGATTGTTGCTGACTGGGCCCAGGATATTGACAGAATCATGTCAGTTGCACTCTCACCCTGGGAGTACAGAGATTTTCTTATCTAGTTCCTGGCTTGTGTTTGTTCAGGAGGAAGGAGTGGGTGGAACCTGGGCTCTCCCAGGCTCCTTGTTTTTGTGTGAAACCCCTTGTTGGATTGGAGTATAAATAGATATACTATGTGGCTTAGGAGGTCGTCAGTCTGCTTCTCCAGCAGAGAAGGTCTGCGGCCCTCCCAGCTCCCAGCTTGAAATCTATCTCTGTGTCTTCTCTCTTTATTTCTAATATTTCTCAATCCCTGAGCACCTCCACTTAGAACCGGTTCGCTCATCTTTCTTTCCGTGTGGGACGTGGAAAAGGGAGATCCCGCCAGATCAGGCCACCACAATATTCTATAAATGATTATAAAGAAATATTAGGATTTGATGTCTTAATTCAAAAGCCAAATTTTTTTTAACATGCTTTGAATATCACGCTTTTCAAAACAAGTTTGATATATAACTCACATGCCAAAAATTTCACCCATTTAAAGCAGACAATTCAATGGTGTTGGGCATATTTTCAGTTTTGTGCAATTATTATTGCAATCTAACTTTAGAACCTTTTCATCACCCCCCCAAAAAAAAATAAAACAACTTTATATCTATTAGCAGTGACTCCCACACACCTTACACTGGTATCCCTAAGCTCTATGCAAACATTAACTTTTATTTTCTATAAATGGTCTATTATGGAGATTTTACATAAATGCAAACACCACAGTACATGCTTTTGGGTGACTAGCTCATTGATTTAGCATCGTATTTTCAAAGTTTAACTATGTTTTTGCATGTACTCGTACTTCGTTCTTTTTTAGGTATGGCTTAGTGACATTTCATTGTAAAGACATACCGCATTTTTAATTCATTCATTATTTGATGGACATTAATTTGTTTCCCCTTATATATAATGGGACTATGAACATTGTTATACCAGCTTTTATGTGGACTTATTTTTTATTGTGTATATATCAGAAGGACAATTGCTAGGCCATACAATAAGCCTATATATTGAACATTTTTAGAAACTGCCAGACTGTTTTTCATTGCTGCTACTCCACCTTTCCTTCTCATAAACTATGTAGAAGGTTCTAAATCCTTCACATTCTCACCAACACTTATTGTCTTTTCCATTATTACCATCAAAATGCATGTAAAGAAGTATCTTATTGTGATTTTAAATTGCATTTCCTTAATAACTAATGGTGCCTGGCATTTTTTTCCTGTGCTTATTGAACTTTTTTAAAGAAATATCTATTGAAATAGTAAGAGATCTTTGTATGTTATGGATTTAAGTTAATTATCAGATATATGATGTGCAAAATATTTCTTCTCATTAAGTGTTTTCTATTTTTTAATGGTATCCTTTAAAGTAAAAAGGTCATACATTTTTATGTTAATTTTTATTTTTTATTTTTGCCTTTGAAATTGTCTATTTCTGATCATTCCTTTATAATCATCCACCCCAGGATTCACTCCCACACAAGAAACTCAAGCCCAAATTCTGCCCCCTCCCCACGCAAATGAGATTCACGTTTCTGATTGTAGGACACTTTGCCTTTGAAGTCCCATGCACTCCCCATCCTTTGTCCCTGCAATCCTGTAGCCTGGCTGTGTCCCTCCCTTTCCCCAATCACACTGAGCATGAAACTGAAACATGGGGTAGCCCCTGTATAATGCACCCCGGTCTGCGGTTTCAGCTTCCAAAGGCCCAGAAAGAAACTCAGGTGCACCCTCTTAGCATGTCATTATAGTGGCACAGCATGGGCTCCCAGTCATGGAAATGCCACATCATAAAACTCGTAGCCCTCACTGTGCTTGGCAGCAAGCAGGATGTTTCTGGCCTGTCCTAACTCCCTCAGAATCCCCGTCAGCTCAGCCCGGATCTCGCCAAGTCTCTCCTGGTTGATAGTGTCCTCAATGTCCTGGGTCGGGTAACACTCCAGGGGGGCAGGGTACAACTCCACCTCTAAGCTGCGCAGCCCAGCTGTGTGACGCAGCAACTTCCCCAAGGTGGCCAAGGAGAAGCGGTTCTTAGAGATGGTGAATTTGCTCAGCTGGTGACAGCGGCTCAGGGCAGGAAGTATGGCCTCGACTTGGGAGTCCACCATGGCACAGTTATCTAAGCTCAGGTCCTGGAGGGTGGGTGCCACTGCCTCCAGCAGAGCTCGGAGTGGCTCAGGACTAAAATCAGCAAGGCTGGCACAATACAGACGCAGGCACTTCAGCTGCCTAAGGTTTGGGCACTGAAACAGGTGTGTCAGGTCTGAATGGGTCAGGCGCTGGCAACGGCTTATGGCAAGGCTTTCCAAGGGAGTCTGCAGACACCTGAGCATCTGGTCCAGACGGCCTCGGAGGAAGGAGGGGGAAACGATGTGAAGCTCTCGGAGGCGCCGCAGCCTGAGCATCTGAGACAGGAATTGGGAAAAGGATCCCTGTTCATCTGGCTCCTCCTGCTCCTCTTGCCCCTCCTGGTGCTCCTGCTCCTCCTGCTCCTCTTGCCCCTCCTGGTGCTCCTGCTCCTCCCTCTGCCACTCATCTTCCTCTCCCATCTCCTGATCCTCCTCCTCCAGTATTTCCTCCCCCTCCAGTATTTCCTCCTCCTCCAGTCTCTCCTCCTCCTCCAATCTCTCCTCCTCCTCCAGTCTCTCCTCCTCCTCCATATTCTCATTTTCATCTTCATCCTCCTCATTCAACATGTGGATGTGGGAGAGAAAGAGTCTCTGTAGGTTCCTCATCTGACCCAGGTAAAGAGCAAACGTCCCCAGGGTGGGGAGGCCCCAGGTGCTGATCACTTCCACATCCTGGATACAGTCCAGCTGCACGGAATCCAGGACCTGCCTCACCCGCTGGAAGGGCCCCACAATAATCCTCAGCATTTTGCAGCACAGGTGTAGCAGCCCTTCCCTCTGCTGGGCCCATCGGATGATGTACATGAAAAACGCATCTATGCCCCTTACATTGAAGTTAAGGTCTAGGAACACCTCCACGGGAGCTAAGGGGTGCTCCTTGTTGGGGCTGGACTGGTGCACAGTTATTGGTCCTGTTAGTGAGTGATCATGGGTTCTGTCTCCATACCACCATCCATAGAAATCTACACCCTGGTTCCTTAAATCCAGCACCCGCAGTTTCCACCTCCTGGGGCGAACCTCCTGGGCAAGCAGAAGATCAAGCCCATCCAACACGGTTTTTAAGAACTCGACTCGAGGCCGACGCATCAGGGCTCCCAGATGAAGGACAGGGTAGGGCCAAGCTTGGGTCATCGCCTTCAGGGACTCCTGGTGTTGTCTACTATGGTAGGCCAGGAGGAACAGAAATGGGAAGAGCTCAGCGGGCAGGTGCTCCAGAGCTGCGATGGCAGCGGCCTCGTCGCTCAGTAGGCTCTCTCCTGCCAGCTCCAGGAGTGTGGGCGGGATCTCCATTCTCATCTCCATGCTCAGAAAGGAATCCTGCAGAAACATATGCTGTGACCAGTTGGCTGGGGCTCGGATCTCAATCTTGGTGGAGAACCAGGGCACTGACTGCAGAGCTGAAGGACTCTGCAATTTTTATGTTAATTTATCTATTTTTCTTTGGTTGCTTGTATTTAGGTATCTTATCTAAGAAATCACTGCCTAATCCAAGTGGTAAGGACCCACTTTCATATTTTCAACAGTTAATAGTTTTAACTTTTATACTTAGGTTTTCAATCCATTTTAAGGTAAGAATTCTACGTGGTGTGAGTTAAAATTCCAACTTCATGTGTGTCATGTGAATGTCTATTTGTGCCAGTATCATTTTTTGAAAAGACTATTCATTCCCAATTGAATAATCTTGGCACTCTTGTTCAAAACTAATTGACCTGAAGTGTGAAAGTTTATTTCTGGACACTGTTCTATTCCAATCATCCACAGTATATCTCAAGTGTAAGGCTTCCAGATTTATTCTTTTTAATATTCATTTGGCTATTTTTCATTCCTATCATTACCATATAAATGTTTGCATCGGCTTGTCAAATTCTGTAAAAGAGCCAATCTGGATTTGATAGGTATTTTTGAACATTATGCTTTATGTAATATCTTGTAAAACTTAAGATATCCTGCTGAGATAAATATGTTAGGCTGGATAATGGATGGGTGTTGGCTACATAGGGTAGAAAATAATAATTTTGGAAAGAGGTTCTGGGAAGGAAACTATAGAGACCTCTAAGAACCACAAAAAGATTATTGCAACCTTGAGCGCTAGAGAATAAAGCTCTGGCATCATTCAATTTTTCTAGGAAAATGCCATTTCAACCTAATCAATTCATCATGAGGAGTTCCTTCTCTCTCTCCCTAGCATCACCCATTGCTACTTCCCACACTGCAGTACAAATAATATCATAGCCCCCATATGCAGTGCCAGTCACTGCTCAAAACACATTGCTTGTGCAAAATATGTAATGCTTACAACCAAGATAATAGATACATAGTTTGAGCTTCATTATACAGATGAAGAAATAGAGGGCCAATGGATAACAGCTTTGTGTATTTTCTGAGACAGTGTTAGAGATGGAATTTGGACTCAAATTCAAGCAACTCAAACTTCAGCTCTTTAATTAGCATTTAAAATCTCTCCCATAAAATACCCAATTAATAAATGTCTTTGGAATCAGTTAATTAATCAAACTACCTCAAGTTGCCACTGTGCCAATGATGTGTTCTGCCTAAGTTCTCTGGCCATCAAACAGAAAGTGTAGCTGAAACCGGTTTGGCTGTGGATAGGGTGTCAGCTTACGGATTCAAGTATCCCAGGTTTGATTCTGGTCAAATGCATGTACCTTGGTTGTGGGCACATCCCCAGTAGGGGGTGTGCAGGAGACAGCTGATCGATGTTTCTCTCTCGTCCATGTTTCTAGCTCTCTATTACTCTCTCTTCCTCTCTATAAAAAAAAAATCAATAAAATATATTAAAAAACAAACAAACAGAAAGTCCAAATGCACAACTTTCCTGTGGTTAGGGACCTAAAGGATCTTATATATCATTTCAGAAAGCACTTCACAGGCTCTGCCCTAGTGAAGTTATATGATGCCTTAGATGGACTTCAAAATAATCCAAAGGGAGTGAAATTGGGTAATGGTAATGATAAAACAAGAAAGAACAAAACCTGTTGACGATAGTGATTGATATATTGCATTAATTACACTGCTTGATATGCCTTCGAAAACCATTATAAGGTCCACAATTAAAAGTTCATTTTTAAGCAGCAATTTCAAAAGCTTTTATCCAAAATGCATTTGGTGGAATGATGTCTCTTTTACAGAACTGGCAATTCTGAGGAAGAATAAGATAAAACAAAATAAAAATAATACATGAGACAAGATAAATACGTTAATGACAACATTAGTTCTCTGAGAGATGTTTGAAATTGATGGTCCCAGAATCCCAGGTCATTTTAAAGGTTTCTGATTTCTCTCTTCTCCCTGTCCAGGTCATGGTGGCAACAGACTACCTGGCCAGCACAAACCTGCCTCGGCCAGGCCCTACACCCTGAATTATTCACCTCTGCTGTTCTTACAAGCTGTGCATCAACCTCTATCTGATGTAATCACTTTCTTGGTCAGTCTGAACCTCCTTAAGCCTTGCTCTTTAAAACTCCCCTGTACTTTCGTTTAGCTACTGAAATGGCTACAGAATACTTCTTGTGGACCTCCAACTACAGAGGGCACAGCATACGGAGGCCCCAGATGCTGTGCTCTGAAACCTGTTCTCTTTATTCGGAGGCCACCCTTCCCACTCCTTTGCTGCCAGCAGGTGGCTGGGTGCAGGAGGGATAGCCAAGCAAGCCTGCTTCTGGGAGACATGGGCTCCTCTGACGGCCAGTTTTGGCTGACAACACCTTAAGCACCTGCTTCAACTCCCCTAGCCCAGTGGTTGGCAAACTCATTAGCCAAGAGAGCCAAATATCAACAGGACAACGATTGAAATTTTTGTTGAGAGCCACATTTTTTAAAACTTAAACTTCTTCTAATGCCACTTCTTCAAAATAGACTCGCCCAGGCCATGGAATTTTATGGAAGAACCACACTCAAGGGGCCAAAGAGCAACATGTGGCTCAAGAGCTACAGTTTGCCGACCAAGACCCTAGACTGTAGCTGATCGTGACATTTCCACCCAACCTTCCCTTTCTCTCCCCTCTTTACTGGGAGTCAGTCCAGTATTGTATTATAATCTGATGGTTAACTCTCCCAGACACCCCAGGCTTCTACCCCATGTTCTCGCACAGGTGCTTCCCATAATAAAATCCTTGCTTATTTCATCACCTTGGCACTTGCTTCTTGGAGGACTGCTAATAATATGATTACAAAGAGACAGATTCCCTAACTCCCAGTCACTCTTACTGATGACTTCTTTAGACTTGTTCAACTCTTCAGTCTCATATGGAATTCAGTGTTTGACTCTTCCCTTCCTCCTGACTGTTGCTAGAGAAGCTTGGGTAGTGAGGGGTAGTATCTCTTTGTTCTCAGGCTGCTCCCAGAGCCCCTTTTTTGCTGTTGTCCTTTCGTGAAGTCTGACCGCAGCTCAGATGCTCTTTGTTGCAAATGGGAATCAACATACAGGTGAGTTCCTTGAGGGACCTTGCCAGAGCTTCCTCCCTTCCTGTCCCCCAGCTGCGCCATTTCAGATAAGGAAGTCATGGTTCCAGCTGAGGTTCCTTCTGCACTTACCCCAGCCCAGTTCCACTCCCATGGAAAGCAGGCTTCTCGGGTCCTTTGGGGCTGGGGTCCTTCCAGGACAACTCAAGATCACCTCCTTCTAAGTGTCCAATAAACACAAAACCTCACACATCCCTGCTGCACCCAGAGAGGCTGACTGCAAAGCAGCTGCCTTACCCCCTCCCCAGCCCAGTTCCCCACCCAGTCCTCCGTTTCTAATGACCTCATTGCTCTGTTCACAAAGGCACAGGTGCCAGTGCAGCCATCCCTTCCGTGTGCACTTTAGGAGAACACTTCTCAAGGGAGACTCAATGCCAGAGCCCTCTTCTCTCTCAGACACCCCTCATCCCTATTTGGGTGGGGAGCTCATGGTAGGGAGCAGGCACCTCCTCTTCACAAGCCCCCTCACTCCTTTTAGGCTCTGGCATAGGACTTAAAGGAGTTCTTTGAAATTGCTACCCTCCGTGTAGCAGTTTTCTGTAAATGGGCCAGAGGAAAGGGGATGGACAGACTGAGTAGCAGCGCACATTTGACCATGACTAAGTAGGTCCTGGGAAGATGTCAGATACCAATTTTTCTGGGCTTCCCTTAGAATGTGGAAAGCATTTGGAACTCCTTTGTCATCAGTTTGATGTCCCCAAGATCAATTACAGGGAATAGGAACATTTCATAAAATATTCTCTGACACTAATTTGCTCTCCTACAGAGCACAGATTCAACCCTCTTTGACCCTCTATCCCCTTTTGGTACTGTATTGCTGGCACTTAATATTATTTCTGGCTTTAAATTTTATTTATTTATTGATTTTGGAGAGAGAGGGGAAGGAAGAGGGAAGAAGGAAGGGAAGGAGGAAGGGAAGAGGGAAAGTGGGATGGAGGGAGAAAGAGAGAAAGAGAGAAAGACTAACTTGTTGTTCCACTTATTTATGTATTCATTGGTTGACCTCTGTATGTGCCCTGACCAAGGATCAAACCAGCAACCTTAGTGCATTGGGACAGTATTCAAACTAACTACGCAGCCAGGGCTATCTCTGGCTTTTGATTCTACCTTGATGCCTTTCAGTGGAGTCCTTTAGTAATGTGTTTTCTGGACCTGCCATCCCTTCAATGTAACTCGGAAAATGGATGGAAAATTTTTAAATATTTGCCTGCATGGACACATTTCTTTTATTGTTTTTTGGAATGAGATTTGAATGATTTTTAGTTCATCATCTTTTATCTGCCTTATTTGCCTTGCATTTTATTAAAATGTGACAGAAGAATGATTTCTGAACTCAGACATCTTTGCCTCATGACACTCATAAGATATTTTTAAATATCAGTTCCAGTCCCTTAACTAATGGTTTTTCTGATCTAAAATATTCCAGAGGTATGGAAGGGGAGTGAACTGATGATTCTCGAGGAAAAGGGGAGAGGGGGATGTGGGAAGAGACTGAACATAGACTGTGCACCTATGGATGGGGACAATGGGGAGTGGGGAGGGGGTGGAGGGTGGGGTGGGAACCTGGTGGAGGAGAGCAATGGTGGGGGGGGAGGAACATTTGTAATAATATGAACAATAAAAACTTATTAAAAATAAATAAATAAATAAATAAAATAAAATAATAAATAAATAATAAATAAATAAATAAAATATTCCGGGTGCCCCACCTACTGCTTTGAGATCATTTTCCTGGTGAAGATGTCTGTTGAGTTTCATGATTCTAACACTAAAGGGGGTGTCCCTCTCATTTCTTAACTACTAGTGCTCAAGCATCAAGGTATTCTGAAAGATTGCCATGTCAGTTA